ATATATGGTATATATATGGTATATATATATATATATGATATATATATATGGTATATATATATATGATATATATATATATATATATATATATATATATATATATATATATATATATATATATATATATATATATATATATATATATATATATATATATATATATATATATATATATATATATATATATATATATATATATATATATATATGTATATCAATTTATTTTGGTTGTCTAGATATATAAAGTGCTCAATACTAGAAGTATAGCAGAGCTTATTAGATTGTCTATATCTTAAAATTAAATATCGCTACTCTGAGTTTCACGTCCTTTCTAGACGATCATCAGGCGATTTTGTTCACGATTTTGTTATTGATTACGTGATTGCATCATCATCAACCGTTCGCTGACGCGTTAACTTGTTTGTTCGCGCGCGTTCGAATTTCCCGGCGCTGAATTTTTCTCGATGGCGACATTTCGCGAAGAACTCGGATCTTTTGTTCAACAGATTGGTTTTATGTGATTTCATGATTTCTAATTTCTCTTCTATGCCCAAATTACATATATATTCTATGCACAAATTACATATATATATATATATATAATCAAAATATACATAAAACATGTTCAAACTTTGTTTTGTAGTTGCAGAAAAGTCAAGTTTGGTAGACATAGATCCTAAGCAGTTTTGTGGCTTCAATCCATGTGATATTTCCAAGTGCCTGCTTGCTCCACTTGGCTCCTGTGTCAGTGACTATAAATGTCGTCCTGTCTTTTTTGATGAAAATAACAAAAGACTTGAAAGTTGTGTTGGTAAGTTCACGTGAATCACGTCTTTGCAAATTGATTAATTTAAATTTAAATTGATCAATTAATTAATTAATTGATTGATTATTAATTAATTAATTAAAATTTGACGTATGGCTCGGCCCCTTATCGTCACCCAACAATTCAATCAGTATTTACGTTCGGAATTATCGTTTACTCAAATTTATAGATTGCGCACTCTCTTGCGCACACAGAGTTCACACACGAGTGAACAAATGACAAGACAACGATGTTCAATTTATTTTACGTTTATCACTTCTAAATGTAGGTGAGGCCTCGGCCATTAACAACGTCTGCGCAGGAGGCTATTCTAAATGATACTGCAAAGATTGCGATTGACAATTTCAATAGTTATTAAAACCGTCAGGAAAAGAAATTTTAGCTATGTAGACCAACACCGCGGAAAAACGTCTGCGCATGCGTCAACCTTACCTGTAATAGTATTGCGAACTTGATGAGAAGCTGTTCCGAACGTTTCCGAAGGATCAAAATGGCGGTAAAAAGGAGTGACTTCATTGTGCGTCTTTACAGTCAGATTTCAAGCGCAAAAATAAACATGTCATTCTAAAAACTAGAAATAAATACAGCCAGAAGGTTCAAGAAATTGTATTGTACAAGAACATGAACTAAAGGTGATTGTTGACAAATTTATCGTCTGAAACATTTTGCTTATCAACTAAGCAATGACAATTTCCGAATTTTCGTTTGAGATACATTTCTTTAAAAAAAACTGTGTCGCCAAATATAAAAAATTTGCGTGTTCACAATAATTAAACTTTAGGATTTATTCTACAATTTGAGTGGGTTAAGAAGCTTAACTTTTCGGGAGTTTTCTTAACTTTTTAGTTTGAATTTTTGTTTTGAATAATTTTGCAAAAATTTTCGAAGTCGTGTCCGTTAAAATCAACAATTTTTTACATGAATTATATTTCATTCCATACTTTAAATGCCGGGACGCTTTCAATTAATGTCTAGTCTACCCATTTGCTATATTTTCTCGTTTGTTTTACTAATTTTTGACCAATTAATAAGCATGTTTTTGTTTTAGAAATTGATATTCAAATTCCCCGCCATATTTTCATAATTTGGTGCATGCGCAGACGTTTTTCCGCGGTGTTATGTAGACCAAATAACTCAACATGTTATGTCACAGCGATACTAAATATCTGAAAAACATAAATCAAAGGACTTGAAGAAGTTAGGATCAAAGTTATCTGGAGGAAAGTACTGATGAATCTGTCGTATTGTGCAGAATTGTTATAGATGATTCGATTATTTCGATTATTGTTACGCATGACCGATTACGAAAAAAACCCCGAAAAAGTAATCGATCAATCGATTAATTATCGATCAATCGATTGATTGTGAGCAGCTATTGATAACATTGAAAAATTTAAGATTAAGATTGAGAATCTCTTAATCTCTGAATGAGAATTAAGAGATTCGTTAAGATCACATCAGACTGTGAAATGGACCTCGTGTTTTAAATAAAGATGTCAATCAATCAATCAATCAATACGAGGCTCTTCTAACTGTTTGATTCAATTTCAGGAAAGCATATCTACATTAGCCCGGCACAGGTACCCCAGGTGTGCAAGATAAATCCCTGCGAGTTTACTCGTTGTTTATTGGACTTTACTGAAGAGCGTTGTGTAGTCGGGACAAAATGCCAGGCGATATATTACAGTGCTGAGGGACAGCCACAGAAATGCACAGGTAATATTTTGACTGTTTGATTATCTTTATCTGTTTTGTTTTGTCTTGCCCTGCCTAGATAATGCTTGCCTTCTCTTGTCTTGCCTTCCAAAAAGTACTTCATTTGTACTGGATAAGTCTGTCAAATTCAAACAAGAGCCTTACCTTCCAAAAAACGTACTTCATTTATACTGGATAAGTCTGTCAAATTCAAACAAGAGCCTTACCTTCCAAAAGACGTACTTCATTTATACTGGATAAGTCTGTCAAATTTAAAACGTTCTCCCAAGAGGTTCGGTTGGGGCCAACCCCATTTGGTTATATAGTGTTACTGCAGCAGAAACTACATTATGCGAAGGAAATACTCTTCTCCCGGAGCTTAAACGAGTGTCGAATCTGGCCATAGCAACTCGTCATGCTATGCCAATAAACGCACATTTGGATAGTATGGATATAATATGGATTTAGTGGTGCAATTGCAAATGTCATAGTATGGATTTTTCATTTTTTTCCCCAGTGAAATGAATTGACTTAAATTCAAAAGTATTAAAGTAGAACTGTCATGATGTCATCTTTGAATTTTGTGAAATGACATAGAATATCGGTATTGGCAAAATATCGGTCCTTCAATATCGGTTATCGAAATATCTGTGAATTTCCATATCGTTGCATCAATACTGGCTTCACCACTGGTTTAAACGTAAATTTATCGTAGCTCTTATATCACTCTTTATATATTTTTCTCAGCTGTGCTCAAGGTTCCTGCTCGTCAAGTATGCGGTTATGATCCTTGCAACGGAGAATCATGTCAAGATAATCCTTATGCGAGGTGTCTGGTCACTTCAAAATGTCGCCCTGTGTTTGTAAATACTTTCAACGAACGGATTCGCAAATGTGAAAGTAAGGCAATTATATTTCGCGATGTTTAAATAAAGTCAAATCACTTGCTGAAAATTGATTCAGCGTATGGGCCAGGGGCGAGCCACGGGAGGGGGAGGTGAGGTTCCCCCACTTTTCTTTAGGACTAATTTTGTAATTCTTCCAAAACTGATGAGAAGCTAGGGTGCGTACCCATGTAACACTCTTCAGATGATCATAAAGTGATAAAACGTGTCGAAAATGCATAAATACAGTAGCGTTTCACAAATCCTAAAATAAAAAAAATATTCTGGGGAACCATGCCCCCGGACGGACGGACAGCATAGTTCTGTGTATTCGACGAGTCGACCCCCAACACTTGTTTGGGGCTGCCTACGCCCCTGGTATGGTCCACTGTATAAAATTATCGAATAATATTATAAAATAATATTTGCATGTGATATCCGTCTCGCCATTTATTGTTATAGTTATTTCATGTAGATGAAGCTGCTTCAAAAAATAACAGAATAGTGGAAGCCAGGGAAGAGGAATTCGAAGCAGAACCCGATGTCGATGATGATGGTGATGATGATGATGACGACGATGATCAACAGCAAGAAAATATTGATCACGATAATGATGATATTGGCTCCGATAGCGATGATGATAATGGCTCCGATAATGATGTTTACGATAATAATCGATATTCATACCCAAAGCATTTTCATGATGAGGAACGTGGAAATGAAAGATTTATTGGTGATGATGATGAAGATAGTGTTGATCATGAAGGTGCACATGAGTATGATGGCGAAGAGAATAATGCAGAAGAGAATGAGAGAAATATAAATGCGTTCAAGAATAAGTTGACTAAAGCAGAAGGCCATCCCCAACATCATGGTAAGTTTTTGATTTTTTAAGATCTAGTGCCATGCCTTAAGCTGATCACAGACGAGGACGTTTTCTATGATAAGTTCTGATGACAAGTTTTATTTGCTCGTCTGCAGCGCAATTTTGCCAATTTTTACAATGACAAGTACACTTATTCAACAATCACTGTAGCATATTAGCTTTTGAACAAGTGTACCTGTTATAGTACGATTTGTTTCGTCTGCACGGGTCAACAAATAAAGTTTGAGCAACGTATTTGAGCACTGGTCAGCCATCTGTTGCTGTAATAGCCAATAATAGCTATCTTGGCGGTCAAAAAGCAAAAAGTTGACATGGAAAATTTTTTGTACGTACACACGTTCAATTGCCAAATAAAACTTGCCATATATGAGGTAGCACTCTTTTTAGACACGACTAAGCCAACTTGAACACTGCGTAATGCAGGAATCAACCTTGTGTTACGCACGTATCTTATCAACAAGATGTGTTCACAACAGGCGTGTAGCAAGCTTGTCAACAAGTTGTAATACTTGCTATTTTATCAAGTTGCTACAAGACTGTCACTCACAAGTTGTTGAAAAATTGTTGAATGCAGGACGGCAACAAGTTGTTGGAACAATTTATAACACATCCGTTGATCTCAACAACCTTGTAGCAAGTTGTCAACAAGCTGGAAACAAGTTCACACGTAAAAATCTCACATCTTGCAGCAAGTCTGCCAACAAGTTGTGTTCGCACTGCTTGTCCCAAGTTGTCAACAAGTTTGGAACAAGCTGTTAAGATAAAAGTCGTATTTTCCACGCGAAGGCAACTTTTACTTTGTGTAGCGCGGCGCCATGTTTGTTTTGTTTTCAAGCAATCTGTGACCGTTACTTCTTTAAACTAAATTGCTTTAAACTGATTGGTTGATTTAATCATCACAATGTTTTTCCACCAATCAGATCAGTTTGGTACAGATTTTTGCACTGTGATTACAGAAAATTGCACTATGATTACAAAAAATTGCACTGTGATTACAGAAAATTGCACTGCTGTTTGGGATTAACTGCACTGAAATCAACCAATCACAGTCGAGTAATATCTTTATGTATATTATTACAACTTGTAACACCCTTGTTGATATTATCAGATTTGTTGCAAGGGTGTTCCCAGGCCTTAAAATATCTTTTACAGGGCCGTCTGACAAAATGTCCGGTGACGTTGAGTTTGGGTCGGACATATGTCCGATGACCTTCAGTTCAGTTTTGACTCGGAAATAAGTCTGAATGACACAAATGGCTAAACGGTAAATGTTGTAAAGATATTAAATAATTTGTTTCTTTCATACTTATTTCCAAGCCAAAATTAACTTGCTTGCCAGCACAGCAGTATCAAAAAGACTTCGACACTTAAGCCCGTTTTCCATTTCACCATTTCGCTCGCCGCCCCGCGCTCGACTATACGTTAAAACAACATTTCCAGTTCACCTTTCTATACAATAGTACTCTGATTTTCCATTTAACATACAAGCCTCTAGTCCTGGGCTAGGGTACATTTTGATTTACGGCGGACAAAGCTACAGTTCGGTCGGACACCATTACACTCGGGTCGGACAAACAATAAACCTCAGTTTCACTTTGGTCGGACAGAATGTCCGGTGGTTTCCTCTCTACGTCGGACAATTTCACGAATGGGTCGGACAATGTCCGTGACCGACCGATATTTTAAGGCCTGTGTTCCAACAAGTCCGATACTGTCATGATATAACAATATTGTTAGAACCCCGCGCCGCCAACCTTGTAACATTCTTGTTATATCATGACTGTATCTGACTTGTTAGAACATCCTTGTAACCAGTCAGATAATGCCATCAAGCGTGTTACAAGTTGTTAACAGCTTGTTCCAAACTTGTTACAACAACTGGGAACAAGCAGTGTGAAGACATCTTGTCGACAGCTTGTCAACAAGTTTGTAGCAACTTGTTTGCAGACTTGTCTTATGCGTTTTTACGTGTGTAGTGCGAACACATCTTGTTGACAAGTTGCTGGAACAGCATTGCCTGAAGTCTGCTGCAGGTTTCTTCCAACTTGTACGTTTTTACGTTATATGTAAACAACGAGTTTGAGTGTTTCATCAGGGGATCCAAACACGAGAAAACTGTATGAAACACGAGCGCGAAGCGCGAGTGTTTTATTGTTTTCGAGTGTTTGGTCTCCTGATGAAACACGAGAAACGAGTTGTTTACACAACATCTCAAACGAAAACATTTCATTGGCTTATATATATTATTATAGTATATTGTTGTGTTTTGACTTGAATTTGTAATTAGGATCTCAGTTATTAGATGAAAACCGTTTTTCATCTAACAACAGTGATAGTATATGATTCTTAGCGTGTTTCCTTGCGGTATCCAACCTCAATCATGTGACGAATTAGGGTGAGTTCATTCGCTAATTTGCTCATGAATTATTAATGAGTTTGAGATGTGTGTATACCAACTTTCCCTGTGCGAGGAAACTTGAGCGCCCGGAGAAAACCCACGACTTTCGACAGAGCGTTGCAGGGGTGGAAAAAGTATCGGAACCTGGGAACCTAGTTCCCAGAAATTTTTTTTG